TCCCAGTCCTACAGTGTCTTCTGGCTTAAACCTCTTTCACTCCGCTTGGAGGGACAGGAAGCGGGTTTTAATGCTGGTGGATTCGTCATTCCGGGGCTCACTCAAAATCCCGAGAAACCCTTTTTGTAGTTTAGCTTTTACCCGATGAAATGTGTCGTCGTGTCGGCCTTTTTATTAGGTGCTGGAAATGCCATATCGATTTTATTTAAGAAGAGAAGTTTTAGATAAAAAAAACCCAGGGGACACTGTACACCTGAATGTGTGTGAGTTTAATTATCCACAGTATGAAATACAATACTCCTGTATATATTAGACCAGTGTAACATTTTTGATTAGTCTGTATTCAGCCCCCAATATCAGTAACTTTATCTTTTTTCTTAATTTATTAAAACTGCTTCCACTATATTCTGTTAACAGTAGGATGAAAGTTTTCTTTCTTGTGGTTGTTATGTAAAGAATATATAAAGAGAGAGCAGAATATAATATTCATAGGTATACAGTTTTGAACAATCCAATGAAATATAAGGTCAATTATATAGATATGACACAGATTATAAGAGATACTATATGCAATGCCTTTATAGATAACAGTATACCCTTGTAACGTTAAATCAGGATTCCGTTTCCATGTAGCGGAGTAAAGTTTGTTGTGCAGTTACAATGTGAAATTTAGCAGATTCTGACGTCCTGATTATTAGGAAGGTTCTAGTAACAGGGAGAGTCCTTTATGAACGCTGAAACAGGAAGCAGTTCAGCATAGAAAGATAACGGGTCCCTGAAATTGCACATCTGTCACTGCTGTGGTGAGTCGGGTCTCTTTCGCTATTCTCTGCAATCAGGAAAGATTGTGCAGTTTTCATAGTTCAAGCAAAAATGATTGCTGGTATGAGCAGTTAATTCCGCATATGAGTTGGGCATGCTGCATCTTTAACTAGACGACACCGAAAGGGATTATGTGCACTGAGAAAGGGCTGAGATCCCTTTACAATATCCAAGCAAGCGCACACCATCTTGTATATAATGCTTCATTTGTAGTATTTATTTTTATTATTGCTCTATGGGTTTTATTCACCTATTTCCTTCTAACTATGGCTACATTTTAGTCTTTGCTTGCAAGCCTCTGTGCTGCTGTTTCTGCAGGTATTAAGTCGCATGGCTGACCTTGCCAGCACCCTCTGCCGTCCTCTCGGTTACATGGGTGCAGCTTCTGCCAGGTCCTGGTTGGCGGATGTAAACATCCGGCTTTCGGTTGCAGGACTTGCATGCTTGCCGATATCCCTCTCTGGACATACAGGGCTCACGTGCAGCGTCTCTCGTCCCAGTTAATACCATCGATGGTCAGTCAATGGCCCCTGCTATCTATTACATGTCCATGTTGTGTAAAGTCTGCTCTCCTGGTGGTGGGTATCCTAAGCCCTCATGTTGGGTATCAGGCCTTGGAATGACAAACTAGGCCATTCCAGATTTCTTCAAGACTGTGACCAGTTGCTGTATGAATTGAGTTAGAGTATCTGAGCAATAACTATGACTGTTAGTTTCATTGTCATATTCCCCCCCAACCCCACTGTGTACCTACAGACTCACCAGGGAAGAAGCTGTTTATAGACCTCAAAGTAAAAGCCTTTTTTTACACAGCTGGCTTTTTTCTGACCTCGTTATAGAAACATGGGCTTGGATGGACCTGCATATGCCAGTCTGGGCTGCACCTGCCACTTAACTACAGAGTTTTGAATATTAAGACGCGGACAGAATAATGCTGGTTTCTGGTGGCGCTCCGCCTTCTTCAAATGCTGGTTACTGTATTGCTCTGTTTTAGGGTTAGGCTTCCAAATTTTAACTGCCAACAAACCCCACACTCTCTCCAAATTCCCTGTGGTATGAAACTTAATCTCCTTCAGCATCTTTCGTCTAAAAAATTCCCTGTGCCCTTTCAGAAAGACAGTAATAGATTAAAACATTAAAAATGTTAATCTCGTGTCCAAAATAAACAGTGGACGATAGACTCTAAGGCTAGATTTGAGCCTTTCATAATAATTTTCTTTTTCTTGTATCCTCTATATGTATTCCCCACAGTGCCCTTGGTGTTTTCTGGAATGTTCCATTCTCTTGAGCTCCCTGATCTGGAGAAAAGGAAATACTTAATGAAAAAATATGGATAGAGTAAAATGTGGTATAGTGATATTAGTGGTTTATCGGCATAATAGTTTTCTCCTTTAGTGACACCTCCCAGCGATTGCTGATCCCAAAGTGTTGCATCAGGCTGCCCTTTGACCCTCCAGATTCATGCTAAACACAGCGGCCAATACCTGTTCTCTCTCTTATCCCACTACACTGTCTTCCTTTCTGTATATAAGGGTTGTAAATATGTTTCAGTTGTTTGTTGTTGTGTGAATCGTGCTGTGATAACTCAGGCTTGGAAAAAAGTACTAGACAACAGTGAGGAAAAAAAAATCCATTTTGGTCTGCTTGTGAGTGGTTGTGGTCCTTTATCACAAAGCAATATACAGATAAAAACAAATCATTGAAATAATGCATCGTTGGCATTAGCTCTAAACTGCAGATGTGCAAAGCTAGAACACTAGAAAAAAGGACTCATCTGTGATTCCGGTGCTTTTTTTTCTGTACATGAAGTAAAGGACAAAGCAAGCGTACATGTCCAAATGTGGAGAGTCTCAGTGACTGGTAATGGGTGTTATTTAAGGACTCGTGTATGTTGCATTACACAACTTGATGTAACTGATAATCTGCTTGGAGGAAATCTTTCAGTGTACAGTAATATATTAAACCTGAGCAAAAAGAAAACCCTGCAAGCAGGCTGCCCCCCCCCCCCCTGTAGTTCTGCAGGGCTACAAGCTGATCTTTCAGCTTTCATCTCTAATCTTGGATGGACTTTTCAGGTGTGCCTGTTAGTGTTGCTTTGGTGGGGATTATTTAACAAGATTGAAAATGGCATTATGGACAATGTCCTGGATTTGATTTTAAAAAATCCTTAAGAGGTGGAAATACTTAAAGTGCATGGTCATGTGACATACTGGTGTAGTATTACTCTTCTGTTTGCTTGTTAGTTTTTCAGACTTGTGTTGGACGACTCCCTGTACACAGATGTTTCCATGTGAAGAATACTTCCCAGTAGACCGAGATCACTCAGCTTGTCTCATCGTCAGCTTGATTTTGGACTTTGTTTTATTATGTCATTTTACATCTTCAGTGATGTGTCGACCAAACAAAGTACTACACTTTTACCTGGTTTACACTCATTTCGCACTGTTTTTGTGAGAATACTATGTATGTAAGAACAAAAAGTCTAGTTTATAATGCACAATAACTATATGAGGAGGATAGTGTTACAACTTTAGACTATAAACATTTCCAAATCTGCTGTAAATGTTGTGGAAAACTGAAATGACGAAAATAAAGTTTATGCGGTTAAGACCTCCACGTTTCTTTGAGGTGGATATCTGCTTTGTGTTCGGATTGTGTTCCCTGCCGTCTTCCTGCACACCCGAAAGCGTCCTGCGGCTCAGCGTCCCGCTGGCGCGTCGCTTCCAGCTGGAGGACCGAAGCTCGAGCGATCGCGTGGTCACATGACTGGCAGTCACGGGACAGCCCTCGCGCCGGGCCCGGCCGCTGGAGCTAACGATGCTAAAGATAGCTGTGTGGTGCTGCGCTCCAGAGTGTTTCCGCTCAAACCTATTTAATCAGCAGACTGACGCTCACCCCCGACTCCCCCGGCGTGCTGTCCACCCCACACCTTTATTTTTAGGTCTTACCTCTAATATGGGGAGCCATCTGCCGGCTAGCGAGCTGTTCAGTGGGGCCCTCCTTCGTGTCAATGTCCTGTCAAAGGATGCAAGCTGCGCAGATTAGCCTTGTCATTGGAGGATTCCTTATCCTACAGTGTTTAACAAGAAAAGATACCATATTTCTGTTTTTAAATGAATCAGTCTACTTCTCCGAATGAGGTAGGCCTATGTGCAACGTAATGATGTACGTGTTTGACTAACAGAATCCCCTCTAACTGAACGTAAACACTACTAGCAAATCTGCCACTCAGAAAAAGTCTCTTAATCAAAGTTCACTACAAAAGTCGCTTTAACAAGTGCAAACAAAACTTGTGTATTTCTTGCCAGAATTGCCGCGGACCAAAATACTCTAGTTGTTTTTTTTTTAAATAGTACTGTAAAGTAATCAGCTAGTCCGAATTAGAGTTTCTCAGGAGAGGACGCAGGGGCGGACTAGCATCAAAAAGCGGCCAGACTGTAAATGAACCTACAGGAATGTTAATGTTGGTATAATGTATAACTGTAATGTATACATTTCCGTGTTATAAATGGCATTACCATTTAAAAAAACTTTCTGAATAGAGAGCACGGAATGGACTGTTAAATACACCGATTCAAACACAAATATGAGCAAATTAAATATAGAAAAGAAGTTTGGAATATCATCATATTTAAATGTCACATAGGGAGATCGATGTAATTTTTCTGTGTGGATTGCCATACAAAAGCATGCTTGCCAAAAATGATTATTTTCTTCCTGCAAAGAGCAGCAAAATTAAAAGCAATAAATGCTAATGATTATAATGACCTAGATTTTTAAATATGGTCGGATGTAGCAGATAACATTTCTTTTATTTTTGTCTAATAATACCAGATGTCCACACTATACTCATTTTCACCTACGTTCAGAAATTCTACAGTTGTATGTAATGTTACCACTAGAGGGTGCGTTACAAAAATAATTGTGTGGGGCTGGGGGAGGGAGGGTTGATCGCTAGACAAGTAATTTTCACGTAAAACAATTAAACAAAAAACTCCTGTTGTCATTAATACTAGATAGAGAAAAAAATAAACAACTACACATCTATTACCAGATCCAATAAACCAAACAAAGCTTTTAATGGCGATAATAAAGTATCATTCTACCGCCGAGTGTGGTTTGTAT